AGTCCGAGTTACTTATGAAAGGCTGAAGAAGTTTGCAGATGATAGGGTACGGTTGTCGCTAATTCTGGCTAATTAGTTAGCGAATAAAACATTTCTTCTCAGGATTCATCAAAAGTTCACGCTTTCTTGTCTTCTTATGGTTGGCCAGAGGATACGAACTTTGAAGAGATAGTTCCTGACGTGCTGAGCTTATATTTGGATCATGAACAGTGGGGAAGTGTGAAGAAGATGCTCATTTCTTTGTGAGTTCATATTGATACAGTCCTGTTCGTCACGTATTTTGGGGCATGTCAGAAGGGCTGGATTTGGCACAACGTCAGCCCGTTTTCCACCAATTATGTTCGCTTGCCGTCTTCTACGAATGGTGAAGAACGGGCTGGCGCTACTGCAAACAGCCTTGTTCGTTGCAGATGCTGTGGCTTATCAGCCGCTGGTATGTCGCAGCGCTGTTTTTCCATTGAGAATCACCATGGCTGAAAAATACACATATTTTTTGTAGATCAGCTCAGTCGGAAAGATGGCAGAAGGAAGAGGATCCTTCCTACTGTCCAGTGAAAAACTACCACCTTTTGCAAATCTTAAGAAGACTTTCGAATGAAGGGGAGGAGATTTCTCTCCAGAAGATGACCAGTTACGCATTTGAGTTGCGTAGGTTGTTTCCAGGAGGTGAGTGTGAAAGGGCACTGCTCGAACATTGTACTAAATCAGGTGGAAGTTTCAAAGAATTTGCGCAACATCGTAGCACAGCTGCTACTGTTCGCGTTCTTTGGAAATGACACAACCAAATCATCACGTAAACCTTGGATGCTTTCGATGTTACACATAAGTTTCTCTGGAGTTCATCACTGATAATGTGGCATATATTTCCTGAACATTTGGATGTCTGGCCAAGACTAGCATTCAGATGAGTTGACCCTGTAGCGGTGTTATTGAAGCAAATAGCCCGAATTTGGGAGTATCGAAAAACTTTGAACAGCTGATGATCACGCTTGTCCTACTCTATATAATCCGCTAAGTATGTCTGTCCGTGTGTGTGTATGTTTGTGTGTGCGTCTGTCTGTGTGTCACGAAATTCATAGCGCCTGTCCCAGTAGCAGTGAGACAATGATTTCAAGAAGTGATGTACAGGGTGTGACGGGAACACTATTGGTAGGTGACAGGAAGTTATATCAGTTGATAAGATTCGATAAGGGGCTGTAGAAGGAGAAGGTCACTATAATCATAACGCAAGTGACAGCATCAGCCTGCTCTCGATTTTAAGATATGATATAGAGGATAGTCCAAGAACATCATTAGTGGGTCACAAAAACTGTAAGCTGCTGATAAGATTCGATAAGGGGCGTTAGAAGGAAAAGGTTACCATATTCACAGCGCAGGTCACAGCAGCAGTCAGCTCTTGATTTCGAGATATGATATAGGATGAGGGCCAAAAACATTATTGGTGGGCTTCGGAAATGTACAGCTTCTAATAAGAACTGTGAGCTGCTGATAAGATTCGATAAGGGACGTTAGAATAGTGAGGTCATCGTATTCATAGCAGGTCACAGTATCAGCGCGGCGTGCGTTTCAGCAAGTGATATGGGGAGTGAGTTGGGGACATCAACCGTGGGTGACTAGAAGCGATAACTACTGATAGGGGCTGATAATGGAGGTTGCAATCGTCGTCGCTGTTCAAGGCGTTCACGCTCCCAAATCATAGAGATTTAATTATGAGGACGTTGATGACGGGTGACAGGTAATCTTATCAATCGATAAAAATTGATACGATACCATCTGCGCTAACTCTCACCGCTTTAATGCCGAGTATTCGAGGCTCAGATTGCGAAACTTTCCTTTGGCCAACACTTTCCTGATAACACTTAGAATGAGTACAAAGTCGGCAAAAAAGTTGCTGAGCGGCGGAGGGGGATATCCAATAATCATGCAACGTATATCCCACGGGCGTACAAAATGCATGTGCATATAAAACAAAAAAAATCATACAACCCCCCACTTTTCCTACGACTCCCCCCCCCCTGCCCAGAGCAAAAGATAGTACGACCCCTCATGTGTTTCACACAAGGATGCTGTACCCTGTCTGTGTGTTGTATGGCCGTTATGGCGCGGACCGCAAGTATAAGCGTTTACTATGGAACGCAGGATCCGCAGGGTTGCTCTATCTGTTATGATTGTACCAATACAGAGCTGTATGAGCAACGCAGTGATTGGAAGAGTTCCGTTCCCCATTATGGAGCGCGCCTGGCGAAGCCAGGCCAGCTCGGCGAAGCCGAGCCAGCTCGGCGAAGCCGAGCTAAGAGAAGGAGGAGAGCTCGGCGTCAGCCGGGCGATCCGACTGGTATGTGTATAAACCGAAGGACGGGCGTGGTCGGATGAGTATTCATTTGTTGGTGCCAGCTCTTCCTCCTTATCGTCCGCTCACCATTCAAAAAAGAGGGAGTTAGTAGTTGAACCACCTATCTTCGGGTAGCAGTTAAAAATCAAAATTGGGCGTCGTCGTGGTCATGGGGCGGAGCCTCAGTACCGTCCCGTGCGGGCGGCGCTTCCCCTCACGTATGGACGAGCTGCGAAAGTAGTACATCCTACAGCCTTGCAAGCAGGACTACCATTATGAAAAAGGGCGACTGAACATCAAATTAAGCGGGCGTGCCTTCAAAGGCTGTGCCCGCGTTCAGTTGAAATTTCCCTCTCCCGTGATAGGTAGCCAGGTTCGCAGAGGCAGCGATTACACCACTTTTAGTGCGCAAAAACGAGTGAGGAGGCCCACGATACCGTCGTCCCTATCACTGGCCCAACCCCCTATCATTTCTAATGGTTGCCTGATGGTGGGTTGTTCTGCTTCTAACTCTCTCCACTTCGAATGGTGAGAGTGAGGTGATAAAGAAAACAGCTGATACCAACAAGTAAGAACTCGTGCGACCACACCTCTTTTCGCCTTATGCACGTACAACCTCAGTTCGGCATGGGGTTCTATATGGGACATTTCCGGCGGGTTTTTCTGCTTTTTTCTTCACTGCTGGATCATTTGCTACCTTGCTATTACTATCTGAGCCGCATAACTCATCATATTTGAACGCGAGCTCAGCCTTGAACTCCGAACTTTTCGTGCAGTAATGAGATGGGATTAATAGTAAGCCTATTCACTGGGCCGTAGCCGAAAGTGTATGCATTCAAGCTTTCTATTCTGACCTGTCACTTTTGAAATGCGTCGCAAACTTGTATACGATTTGGTTTACTCAATTACATCCAATAACCAGCCTATTAACGAGACCATTCGATCTCTCAGACAAGTTTGCTATCAGTTCAACGCAGCGAAGGGACGGAGAGATTGGTTGACGGCGGTTCGGGATTGGGGCCGCTCCGAGATTCACTCATCTCCCCAGCAGCCCTCCCCCTCCAAAATGCGCCTGGTAGTCGGTGCCGCATGGCACTAAACTTGCTTCTGTATCTGCCGTTCATCGGATCAAAATTTACTGGGAATCAAAAGATGTGAATAACGCTGTTGCTATTCTTGATAAGTTTGGTCAAAAGCGTGCGTTGGGTGAGTTTCCAGCAACAAGCGATGTTTTGAGGTGGTATCATTCACATACAGAGGTCGACTAGCTTAACTGGACTGTAAGCAGTGGTTTCATTGACTGCTTCAATCCCCTCGGCTTCGCTCTCCGTTCCCTATGCATAGTCGTCATGATGCAGGTTAGAGGGGACGAAATTAGCATGTTTTGTTCCTGGGTCCCAGCTAGTCGCAAAACTGCTCCTTTTCGACAGTACTGCCATAAGATCGAAAGCAAGCCCACTCCCAATAATTTCGGGGCACTTTATCAAAAACTGAAGCCGTGACTGATACCAAATGGAGATAAGTGAAGCTTCGACAGCATCCAAGGAATTTTGCAGTGTTTTACTATTCGTTGTGAAAAGTAATCGTTTTGCAGCTGTCGCTAACTACGACACGTTCTTCAACACTATGCATGAATACAACCGATTGTTTGGAAAGTGCTTCGAGGTAAGTACAGAAGCTCAAAGAGTGAATAAAGCTCAAGCTCTTGACCGATGCCCTCTTCATCTTCTTGGGATGCGCCACGCATTCTGCTCCACTCGTAATGCTAGTACTTTTTTTTGTAACGACATGACCTATGCAATGACTTGTGGGAAGCAGCCGATGTGCAATTCAGCGTTTTTATCTTCCCAAGGTACTGGTTCAGTATGGGGAACCTGGGCAGCTGCGAAGGGAATCTTGCATGTTTCAGTAATGGAATGCTGATTAGAGGGGAAAATAAATGGAGAGACCATCTCATTCGTAGAATTACAGCTCAGTGAAAATGGACTTTTCACTGTTTTCTAGTTTTTCAATCCTGAACCCATATAGCATGCACCTAACAATCATTTTTACCAGAGGCTGCCAAATCCATCGGTCGAGAAAATCGACGAATGCATAGATCTCCTGCGGAATCTGATCAAGTTGGAGATACTTCAGCTACATCCGAACGAGACTCTCACATCTGTTTTTATTGGCAACGTTTTGAGGAAGTAAGTCTATCCTATCGCCTTTTATTTCCTTAAGTTAAAATTCTGCATGGATAAGGAGACAGGAAAGTTTGAAACGGAAAAATAGAGCTGAATTTTGGTCTTAGTTCTTTCCTTTCTTCTACGGGAGGTGTGTAACTCACTGCTCAGTCTGCAAAACTGCAGGCAGCGGGCGACAGCCCATGTTTGTTAGCTGACTGTAAATAACATGCGCTCTCACGTTTGATTCCCTTTATTCTGCGGGCTTAATTTATACGCTACTTAAC